ATTAGATCCCGAAGGCGTGGGAACGTGTTCTTAAGCCTTTAAAAAAGTTAAGCCTTTAAAAAAGACGATCCCATAAGTATTAATATTTTCCTCTGGAACTGGAGAAATGATTTTTTTTTTTAAATAGAAAGACCACTTTCAACTCAATGCTTCAAATTTGTACCCTCAGAAGTGATAAATATTTATACCTGTTTTCATGGATACTCATTTATCCATGCACACGATTAATAAAAACTCTCCTAATTAAATGGAAATCTTCTCAATCGAAAGGATATAAGGAATTCATTGCAATTAAGATAAACATCCAATTAATCCTTCTAAACGGTGATTCACAATCATCTAACCGTTTTATACGATTTATCCTTCAAAAGGTTAAACCCTGAACCTTTCCTGCTAACAGTGTACCCTGGCACTACCTTTGGGCAACCAGTAGCGAGAGAATTATAAAGTGATAATTTAGGGTCGATACTAGGGCCGTACCAAGGGTCACATTTGGCCGGTGGGCCGATGACCGATTTTCATCTCGTACCTGTCGGCCGTTGCCGGTGCCGGAGTCGATTGTGGTCTGAAAATTGGGAAGTAATTATACTATTCAAAGAGGCCTATTTGGAAGCCATGTGATGCTTATCAGTGGGCCTCCTAAAAACGAAAAAGACCACTTTTAGACTTGTCTGTCTGTATCCGTCAGAAGTTAGCTTGTTACCTATTGTTATACCTTGTTACATGGAACAACATTGTTAAGAGCGTTTGACGACACATCTCTCGCAAAAGCATAAGAAAAGGAGGTGCATGATTTCCTGTTCTTTGCCGTTATTTTCCTCCTCCTTTTCCTGGAATCAGGATGAAATATAATCCAATCAATATTTTTTGTCTGGAAGAGAAGTGGCTTTCAGCGAGACAGGAGGGCCGGCGCCTAGCCGCGTTCACACGTTCGCTGGAAATGTTTTATGTTTTGCCTGTAAGTTTTGTCCCTCCTTTGGGCATTGGCACCGGCAGATGGCAAACCTGCTGATGGCCGATGGCGCCGATAGTGCAACACCGACGGCCGATTCCGGTGGTTGCCTGCCTATACATCGATACAGCCGAATAGTCTCAAACTGTATAACGTTACATGACACTGAATCCTTAAGATGCAAAATAAAATGATCGACCTCAAAAACAGCCCGAAGACAAAATCTGTTCGAGAGCATGGCTTGAGCCTCAATTAATAAATGGTCAGGTTTTGGACTTTCGGCCAGCTAATCCCGTCCCTGAACCACTGCGTTGTCTTCACATCTATGGATTCTGTCAGGGTCTCAGAGGAGTGCTGTGTGCTTGTATTGATAGGAGGGTTCCACTTTCCGACATCTGTGGGATCTGCTCCGAAAGGGACATAAATTTCTATCTCTTCTGTCGATTCAACTGGAACTAGCCCACCTACTTCACAGCTGACCGAGCGGAGAAAAATAAGGCTCTCACTTCCCACTGCTTCGCATTCATACAAACCTCTCAGTCCGATCCCGATGCCTACCAAAATCACCTCCTTCATCTCAGGAGAGCAGACTAGCCCTAGAGAAGCCTGATATGAGCTGACATCTATGTTGAGGCAGGAGATGCACTTGTTTGAACGAAATGGTGCAGATAACAGGATCGTCCGGTGGACTTGGCATCCTCCACGCATTCACTCCCTAATTTATTTCGTCTATTTTTAATATCCCACCAAATATGATAAAGCTCGTCACCAAATTCTTTGTGGAATCAAAATGCCAGATTACATTGACCCATCACCATCAGTCACCAAATTTTCATTTTTTGGTTTCTCAAGTATTGGGTGACATGCACCAGATCTGTTTCACTTTAAACTGTTCCAGCTACATAGTGGATATCTATGGGAATTAGACTATCTCCGTCAAACCAATTCCCATAGGGGACGATTGTGAGATCAGATTAATTTAAGCTAATCAGATCTGGTGCGTATCACCCGTCACAAGTGTTGCTATCACCAAGTCTGCATCGGCCCAAACTGAACATATGCTTTCGCCATCAAACTTATTCTGAGTGTTTCATCAATTGCAACCCTTTTGAGGACTGGATTCTACTAATGGTTGGACTTACGATGACAAGATCAGAATGGAAGATCCAATAATTCTTGAAGCTTCTGGGGAGGACAGTGTAACTGGTCTCCTTGTGCCTGTGAGCATATATGGGAGTATAGTAAAACATTTTATTTCAGTTTCTGATTATCTACTGTGCAGTGCATATTATAAGTGTCATGGCTACAAGTGAGCTTGCTAGTTACTAGCAAGTTCAAGAATTGGAACGATTTCATTATGTGCAGACCAATTTGGATGAAGACAGGGATTAGAAAGCATTCACTGAGAATACGAATCCACACCTGGGAGGTCACAGTTCCATCGGAAGCTCGATGCATCCCTATTGGACCGGAAAGAATGATTGATCTAAGAAGGCGTCATCTTTCCCACTATGTACAGTGGATGCATGTTTTTTTTTCAATTTACGTGAAAACGAAAAAATGACGATGATTTGGAGAGAAATCAATAAAGTCTAGTGGTCGGTTCATGACATTTTGTGAAAAGACTGAATGAAAACTTGAAGTTAGATTAATTAAGTTTGATGGTGAAAGCATCTGGTGAAAATAACATGCATTTGGGGATGTAAATTCACATTACTTCCTTGTGATGGAATCAATAAAATTTAGTGATTTAAATGTTAAGTAATTTATTTGATTCCCAGGATGATATTGATCGAGAAATCTAACCGTCCTTGCTAGTCTTAGGGAAAATTGTCACCCTACTAATTAACTGGAATCGGAAGTAACAAACGAAAACGAGAACGAGACGCCTAAGCGGTCTCCGCAGGGGTCGATATCACACTCTCAAAAGTCTCTTGTCCCGCAATTCTGTCACTTCTACTCCAGAGAAAGTCCTAGATTAGATGAACACCGTATATTTAGTTTTCCACACATTCTGCGGTGCTTCCCGGAATGTCGTCAGAATTTTTAAGGCGTTCAGGGCCTTCATTTCCACTCTGGCACCATCTTTGGTTATGCTTGTCCCTACTATTTTCATACTCTATCCAGTTTCCGAGGTAATTTTCCTCCGTCACCCTTGCCAATTCCTGTCCTTTGTACCTCCATTTCTCCGCTCTTGCCTCTTGCATATCAGCACCTTTTGTTTTCTTGCATTCAAATGGATGGATTAGATATCAAGGTAAAATTATATCTCATACAGCGAGTTCTGCATCCCCTTGCACTGAGGTTGAAAACATAGTCAAATCCACTGCACATGCCATAGTGCCACCGGCCATGCCCTTCCCAGAATTTTTGGTGTTTCGTGTCCCACTTCTCGCAATACACTCACCACATTATCCATAAACAATATGAACAATGTTAAGGAGAGTGGATGCCTGCGAGGATGCCTGAAGGAAAAGAAAACGGAATAGTGGTAGTGCTTATGTGGTGAGGACAGGGACTGTCATGAAGGATTTTCCAAATACTCTTGTTTTCCTAGTCATTCTTCGAGGAATTATTTTTTTTAAATATAGGGATTCATTTAGAGGCAAGTTATTATTTTAAAATAAAAAACTACGGAAAGAATGATGGAAAAAGTTATGTTGGTGTGGGTATGGAAAAGAGTGTATGTACATAACAGTTTCTGCCTTAATTCTAGCAACTTGCAAGCTTGCACGAAGTATTTAAGTTTAAAGCCAAAGTTTAAATAAGGAGCAACCTATCACCATATCACTGAAAATGAATTCAGATTGACCGCAGATAGGCTCTAAGGAGGTATCTCAGCTTTTCTCGAATTGTGCCTCTTGCATATAAGTCCTTTTCCCAGAGAACTCCTCAATTCTTGTCTTCCCTTGATCCTATCCCTTTATACAATGGTCGAGCCATGTTAACCTTCCAAAATCCTGGATAGTGTGCTTATTCAAAGAACCTGTTACATGTGGCTTTCATTGTACCTAGAACTCTCCTTGGCTATGCCTTATAAAATTCTGCTGGAATGACATCTATCCCGTTTGCTCATCAACTCCTCTCTGCATATATGGACTGGATCAGTTCCTCGTGAGAAAACTTTCCATCCAACTGTGGCAGTTGGATGGAAAGCGTCCTCCATGGACCTCTCAGCGTCCTCCATGGACCTCTACTACTCCTACTCAGAATAGCGCTATGAAACGCTTTTCCCGTAGGTTTCTTTCTACAGCACTTGACCTTTTCCACCTCTTGACACTTTCCTAACCGCCTAATCAACTGCCAGGTTTACTCCCTTTCGTTTCTATGTGCCTCCATTGCCTACAGTGGTAAATTCTGAAATGAAATAGCAGACATCAGCGTAGACATGGATTCGTGTTGACTATTTTGTGTGGTCTCGGACTTGGTGTTCATATTTTGCGGCGAGGTGTATCTTATGTTTGTCCTACGATTTGTTTTCAGTTTATTCACACTTTCAGAGAAGTAGAGAAAGAGAAGGCCTTTCTTTTAATTTCCTTATCAGTGAAGTAAGTTAGTCAACTGGTGCTTATTTTCTATATATCGTAATGATAGAGAAGTGCTACGGCATGTGCATTGGTAACCCTAGGTTTTATTCGCATGTATCACACACAAATGGTGAAATGCATGAATCACATGAGGCTCGCTGCTCTCTCTCTCTCTCATGGGCGTTTTCACAAAGAGAGTAGTAGAAATTAATACTCTCAACATCCTTGAGTAATTATAGACATGGAATGAATTTCTGACAAATACATATATAATTGTGCTTCCATACAGTAGTTCTGATAGCCCCGTGTGAAGTGCACCTGTGTGGTGGTCCGATTCATAAAGAAAAAGGTACTCTTGAGAAGTTTGCAAAGATGACTCCCGTCTTCTGTGACAGTCAATGGGAACAGTAAGGATTACAAATCTAATCCGACGTATATAAAACATCAGGGGTGGAATGCTCGAGAGACAATCGTAGAGAAACGATCTACTGAAACACAGAATTGTCACATCCCTGTGATTATCAGAGAGTAGACGCCTGGAAGGCGGAGAAGGAACTAGCAGCGTGGTCGTAGGGGGAAGGATAGGAAAAGGCTTGGGTATGAGGAGAGAGGCAGGGAGGTGCAATGAGGTGCATTGTTCCATCGGGTCCTGTCAAGGGACTCGATGGAGAGGATGTCGCCGGGGGTGGAGGCGGTGGGAACAGGTGCGTGAGAGTTGCTCGGCTGCCCTGGTGGTGGTGGTGATGATGGACACCTGGGCCCGCACCCCAGGCCTCTTCGAATGCCCGTGCCATGCTGTATGGATTCGGCTTGAGGTGTTCGGGTAGGATCATGTCCGCCGTTGGACTTCCTCCTCCACCTGTTCCAACTCCATTCCCACCCACTGGAAGAACCTGACCGTGTGGGTGCGAGTGCGGGTGCGAGAGGGGGAGTGCGTGCATCGGGCCTTGGGATGAATCTGGCATCGGGTAGGGCGACATCTCCGCGCTGTAAAACCAACACAAATCAATAATAAATTTGGACTGCAGCACCTAGGTAATTAATGTTGAAACTACGTATGAAATCGTCGAATTTCTCTCTGCAAACTGCTTGCACCCAATAATAAAGTTAAATATAAATATGCAGTAGACGTTCTCAATAATCGAATGTGAACTCTAAGTTTTGTGAATTGTTTCTGAAATACCGGGAAGCGTCATAAAAAGTAAAATATTTAACCCTGTACCAACCAGGACCCGGGTGGTCTTATGTTTAACTCTTTGTTTCATCTCTTAATTCCCAAAGAATCTCTTCAAAATACTTTGCCTGATTACTATCACAAGTCTTCATAAAAATACACAAAATATTCGGCTTCTTCAAGTTCACGGCGCAGCCTACGCAAATGGCTAAATTTCTCTATCAGGATCCATTGGACCCAGAATGGCAGCTACAAGGTTAAAACCAGACATGATTTAACCCCTTCAGACCGGACGGCAAAGTTACATGCCACTTTTGAAATCCTTGGACTCGTCTAAGCTGGCAAGCTTGTCGACTGGCAAGCAAGGGAGTCAATATTTTTTTCCTCCATAGTTTTGGGGGACTGGAGTGGCACGTGTACATGTCACTATGTTTTTTTCCTTAGAGGGGTGCGCGGTTGGCAGCATGCATTTCGTGAGAGTAAAAGAAGCTTATTGAAGCCAGCAATCAAGGATCTTATTCAGCAAATTTCTAGGCGCTGTCACAATCATTCGCCTACAAGACAACTTGGGCTGGGCGATATTCGATAATACCGAAGTACCGCGGTACCCCCCACCCCGCTCGTGAGGGATCGTGAGGGAGAGGTCAGTAATCCCTAAATACTGGGCCCTCCGTACTGTGGTTCTCACTTTTCCAAATACCCGATATGTGAACAGCACCACAAGAAATGGTTTCCTTGGGTGGTATTGAAGCTGGAGCTTCCTGTCATGTGACTCATCCATGTCCAACGGCGGATCCGGAAATTTTTCGGGAAGGAGGGATGGAATCCCCGGAGAGACTGGCGAACTGCCTGAGAATATGTTCTTGGAACAATCATGGGGGTGACGCTCCCCCTCCTCCTGATCTTATACTGTCCATGTCTTAGTCTTCTTTCTAGTCTTTCTCATCATTTTCGTCAGCCTGTTGCTGGGAGGGCTCGAGCGCATCATCTTCCTTCTCAGGCCGAACAGTGTCATTATTCTCGAAGCTGATCAAGGAGTTCCGTATAATTGAACACTGAAACGCAAATTTACTGGCTCTATGCCTCGTGGCGTGTGTACACGCCATCTAATTCTTTACCCATCCCATAAGAGCTCTGTGATAAGTCAGATATCCCTTTATCACGTATTTATAAGTAGTTACCCACACTATTTGACAATGCAGTTCAATGTGCATCATAATTTTGGGACCAATAATGAACAATCGACAAGAGCTTTTATGATCGCAGACGACGCGGGCTGCCATATTTACAGAAACGCTAAGTTCATTAGCCCCTGCTGTGATGCAGACAGAGTCCAACGAGGCGCATACATATTCTTCGGGAGCTCTCTTTAATCCTGCTATGGCTGGCAGCGCGATTTCTGACGTCGAAGCGATTTGAGCATGGGGGTTCATAGTTAAAATCAGCGCAACATAAGATTTATTGAAGTCTTCCAACTTGTGAGGGTCAAGTTAGGGAGAATAAAGAAAGAGATGGGAGAATACTGGAAGTATCCCTCTTCCAGTCATGCGGGAAGACGGCTCAAATGGCTGTCAATAAGTGCTGGATTTCATGCCGCTGTGTGACTATGAAGCTTCAAGAAAGATCTTAACGAAACTTTTTGCGCGATCTTTTTATGTTCAAGCTTCTCCTTGGGATATTTAAGAAATATATACGAACTGAAGACATCTGTGAAGAATGGAAACTGGAACTAGACTTATACGTGTTCGTCCATGGAACTCTGGGCAATAAACTTGGAGGATACTAAGGAGGTTTATGCTGAAATACTTTTGCAGGTATACAGCTGGTTCAGCATGATTTTATTTTAGGAGGGGGGGAAATAGGAGAGGCGGAAAAGCTCGTGAGATTGCTTAGGTTTCCTCGACTGAGTACTGGAAACAGACTTGTTTCTGCACCTTTCCTTAGATTTACACGACATGTAGCTTATTTAGGGGGAGAGGAAGGAAGAGCTCAGATTTCAAGAAAAAATGTGGATAAGTACGTGACAGGAGGTACTGGGTTCGCATCGTCCGACGTTGTAACTAGACACCGTGCATAGCATCCATCCAGTAGCCCAGCTCACGTGCTGCTCTGCTGCTGCCTCCACTCCCCTCAAGATGCCCTCGTACTTCTTCTCCCCCTCGTATACATATTCAATGTGCCATAAGCGCTGACTAGGCTTCATTTAGCATTAAATTGCTCGGCAAGAGCGTTCCATGCTATTGACGAGATCTGCACTCGTCTGATTACATCGTAGTTAGTATTGGAACCAGTCGTTTTTAGGCGTATATACTCTCCCATACGCTTATCCATGGAATCAGTAATAACACGGAAATACAGTCGGAGGTCACTCCTAACATCATCTAGGCTGGAAGAGCTCATTCAAGACCTGAAGATTGTTTTCATTGATTGTATAGGACGGGCCATGCATCGATCTCAAATATTCTCCATGAGATTGCGAACAGTCCCTTTTGCGATCGATTGAACAGCTGAAACTCTGGATAAACTTGGAAATTTAGGATCTGCTGAGAACGCCTTAAAGCAGACGCAGTTAGAAATGGATTTCCTCGCCAAATCACCATGAGTTACGCGTGTTATGTTTGCGTCTTGAACTACAGTACATTCTATCTCCCTGGCCACGGTAGTGAAATCCTAATTTTTTATTGTCGCACTAGTTGCCACTTTCACGGAAACCAGATTGGCTTACATTCTTGTCTTCCTCCTCTAATAGGATTCATTCTTGAACTATGGTCAAGCTGCAGAAGAAAAGGGTTCCTTTAAATTGGCTTTACACCCAATTGATGTAATTGCCCTCCCTCCTAATGTTCCTCACCGCTGCAGAGTATACCTTTCGTTCTCCATTATAAACTGTGCTTAAACTCCAATTTCTTCGATGCCATGGTCCTCTCTTAACCCGTAATGAGCGGGTTTTCGTTGTCTCTTCTTATTTCGAATGAAGCCAGCAGTCCAGTATTGTACTGCTCCTCATACGACTGTACAAATCTTCAAGTGAAGTGCATGAGGCATTATAAGAATGGCAGGAAGCATCTTCCCGTTTCCAGGTTTTACATTAAGCAGTGCTGTAAAGATGGTTCCGAGAGCATCTCTGCTGACCCAAAGTAAGGTGGCTTTTCCACATCCCATTCTGACCTTACGTTGGAAGTCGCGATCGCGAGGCATCATCGTCTACCTGAGATATTGCAGTGCTGTTTGGAATTTCTATCGGAAATGCAACGGCATCGTTATCATTGACTGGCGTCTGAAGCGAGGTTGTGCCCGTTGAGTAACTCACTTGTCATTCCTGTACAGCTGCAGTACGAAGTTAATATATGTCTGGATTACAAGAGAAAAGTACTTTACGTCTCTGTCACATGCGCCCGATTCTATCTGACATGTCGACGTGGCTTTTTTTCCCAAAGTAAAATCGGAGCTTTGAGGAGTTTCCTGAACGGATTCATGAGTACCCTAAATTGCTCGTGATAGGCCGAGATGTCATGTTCATCAGATGTGGTGGAGTCAATGAGATGAATGCATCAAATACGAGGATCAAAACTCAGGAATAACATGAATGATTCTCTCTAGACTAACTAAACTAGATAGACTTCTGCTGCAGCATTAGAGAACCGGTCTCGTTACTTTCTGAATGCTCCTCGCAGCTTCTGAAAGGAGCCGACATCTGTCCCAATTTTCAGATTATAATGGCAAATCAGCTGTTGATTAAAAATGCAATGTTGAAAAAAGTAAAATATTCATCTCGTTCTCTCAAGTCTCATCTCATTTGGTGCAAACCCGTCCCTTGTGTCTTTCAAATCAAACATCAAGTACAGAAGTTGAAGGACAACTTCGTTTCTGTATCCTTGAACCCCTCGAACGGCGTTCCTGCTGCTAGCTCTTTGTTACATTGACCCTCTCTGTGCTCATGGAATGACATGCATGCTTTGACCTCTGTCACGGTGCAAATAGAATTGTTGCCATTATATATGGATAAGCATCAAGGAGGGGGAGACCCCGTAAGGGAGCATGAAGGCGCTGAAGTGGAACTGGACTCGTTCCATCACGTGCCTTAAGTACTGACAAATGGCACCCGCACGTACCCACCCATTAGAGCAGAACTAGGGGAAGTACTGTTTATGCATACATATAACCTCTCCTTCATCGAGGATATGGCAGATTTCCTCCCGCTTTCCCCTCCCGTCTCTTGACAGCCAGGCTCGCGATCTCGCCCTCATCATTTTCTCTTTTCTTCCTTCAGTCTCGTTCAAACGCGCATCTCTGGGTTCGAAGGGAATGAGCATCGAGAATGGACACATTTATTGTGGTTTATTATTTCGACGAAACCACATTCCTCTATGACAGACATCTCGCTATAGCCCCTCCAGAATGGTCGATGTTGACGACCCTCGAGTGCTCTTTCACATGAATGAGGATTACCTCAGTTCTGCGATTCTCGATTTATTTAACATGCAGGAAACATCTCAATTACTTCCACGTCATTGTCCAAAAGTAAAAAAAAAACTGCTCTGAATGTTTCATATTTCAATTTCATACCAACTGTTTATAGAAGATCGGCGAGAGAATCCACCAGAGGAGACTCTTCATTGCTACTTCTCATCCTCTTTTATGAATGCATCAAGGCTCATTATAAAAAAAAAACTAGAAAGGTTTGACGACTTTGCTTTCATGCTCGAGAATCCTCGATTCAGTTTTCAAGAGTGCTCATTAGCTCTCTTTCTCTTCCTTTGACTTCACAACTAAAAAAGCTAGGTAAAGGGAGATGAAACTGTTTACTTGCACTTTTGCATTTCCTGAACAGAAATTTAGCATTAAAAAAAAACTGGATGCAGGATGCGCAAAATCATTTCGAAAACTTGAAAGTTAAGGGATTAACCCATCGCTACAACCCAGGAACAATTTTCCTTTGAAAAATGTTACAGTCGTTCCAGGTAGTCAAAGGGAATAGGGAATTTTCCTTCCAGACTAGAGTATTCTGTCGATTTCCGGAGAGAGTAGAGAGGGGAATGGTTACCACTATGAACAATTGACTAGAGCTTGGAGAATATAAAACATTGTTTTCCTGAGATATTTCCAAAACAGGATGAGCGAACTTATTACAGTCTCGACAGTCTTAATAGTATTTTGCAGCGCTGGCGGTCGTACCAAAATCATTGCAGTCTTTTGCATAATTCCCAAAATTCTAATCGAATAAAAAACATTTTACATATAATCGGGAAAAAATTAGATCATGAACGTTAGTTCATAACTGTACTTTGGAACTCTGACATAATCAGAGCTCTGCGAATGACAAATAGGTCACGATGTAGCTTGGAAAGATGTTGACCGTGAAAATTTCCCTCTAGGGATGGTGGTAGAACACATGGCGAATGTCATTCGTCTCCCCATACAA